GCCACAAAAAGGATTCTGGTGTTATTGTGACAGGTCAATGGATGAGTTACAGAAAAGAAAACAGTAAGACCTGCCTTTAACCATGTTGAACGTGAACTGTTTATTATCCACAATACCACAGATATAATGACTGAGACACATCTCGCCTAAATTTCAAGAGTGGTTTGCTGAGAACTAGATACCTACACTGCAGAACCTTTGTTTTATTAGCACAATTTCAATTTGGAGAGAAAAAAAAAACTGGCTAGGCACTTATGAGACATCTGCATGGACCTAGCAATTGAATTTGTGTGTATGGGTGAGGAACACAGAATGAAACGGAAAGAAAAATCTTCGTATGATGACTGTTGATGGAGTATTAATAAGATTTAAAGGGCAAGGAAAGAGAGCAATGAAGTGCTAGTCCAAGAAGCAAATTAAGGATTTATTTGTTAATTTAGAGACATTTTGCTCTTCTCTATCAATAACATATTTTTGAGAAACACAGACGAATTAGGTAGTGATTACCAAAACGCGAAAGCTCAAATTTCTTAACTGTTTGTGAAAGTGTATAGCAAACTTCAAGACTGGATGACAAAGTTCATTTTAGATTCAAAGGTTATTTTTCAACCTTAGGTATCAGAGTAATAATAAGGATTCTATGTCTGAAAAATAAGGTGTTGAGCTCTGTATTATTAAATGGTAGTTGGAATTAATATTAAATGATAGCTGGAACTAATGAAGCCTAGTTTCTTTTACTGGTTTTGACTCGTGGCTGACTGACTTTGCAGTCTGAGACAGTGGAAGCTCCAACTGAATCTTTCCAGCAATTGATGCATTTGAAAGGGGTTTTGTTGTTGTTGGTTTTGTTTTTTGTTGGGTTTTTTTGTTACACAGATTATCTAAGTCCTAACAAGGTATGAGTTTCTATTACCACTTTTTAGAACTTGTACGGTCTGTTTCCACTGGCCATTTTCATAAAATTTGTAGAAACAATTATCTTTGACACTTCTTTCTCCATCTTCTGTGGAATTAGCTCAAGGACTCTAAAATTAGACAACATACACAGAGACCGTACAAGTATTTTCTCAATAGGTAAATAGGACAGAAGAGTTCAGCAGTGAATTTTGGGACTCATGAATTAAGATTAACTTGGTAATTTTAGCTGACAATGAAACAACTATAGGAATGCTTGGAGAATGACTGCTTGGTTTCAGCAATGACTCTTTCATCACAAATGCCAAGCAGCACACCATGATAATCCCATGCCTTTCTTTCCCATCTCCCTACACGCCTCGGTCTCCTCTCCCCCACCCCAGTACTGGATCCATTCGTTGTACTGAATGCTATTGATCAATGGATTCCCTCTGAATGGTCAAATGTGATTTGGGCATGTTTTAAACAGGTTTCAAAAACATTTGAAAAGTAGTATCAGAAGATTCACTCTCTGCAGAAATTATTACGTAATTTCTTACAGATTCTTTGATAATTATTATATTCTTTATTGGATAACATTGTGAGAGAGTAAGGATAACACCTTAGGCACAGAGGCATATGGTTTTACCTTAGCTCAGTGTTAGGTAAGGTAACACCTTACCTTCTAAAGGTCCATTTCTTCCACACTGTGCATGGAAGTAAAGACAATTAAATACTCAGGTAGCATGCCTTTCTTGTACACCATTCCTAGACTCTGTCACCATAGGACATAGTTTCTATTTTATGTGTGTCATGACAGAAGACATTTAAAACTGAACTGATACATGAGCTCAAGTGTTTCAATTTTAAAGTAGCTGACTTGAAGGTATCTTACAGGAGTTTGAAGGCTTAAGTCACTGTCCTGGTTTCAGCAGGGATAGAGTTAATTTCCTTCCTAGTAGCTGGTACAGTGCTGTGTTTTGGATTTAGGGTGAGAACAATGTTGATAACACACCGATGTTTCAGTTGTTGCTAGACAGTGCTTACACTAGCCAAGGACTTTTCAGCTTCCCATGCTCTGCCAACTGAGAAGGCTGGAGGTGCACAAGAAGCTGGGAGGGGGCACAGCCAGGACAGCTGACCCCAACTGGCCAAAGGGACATTCCATACCATATGACGTCATGCTCAGCATATAAAGCTGGGGAAAGAAGAAGGAAGGGGGGGACGTTCGGAGTGATGGCGTTTGTCTTCCCAAGTAACCATTACGCATGATGGACCCCTGCTTTCCTGGAGATGGCTGAACACCTGCCTGCCGGTGGGAAGTAGCGAATGAATTCCTTGTTTTGCTTTGCTTGTGTGCGCAGCTTTTGCTTTACCTATTAAACTGTCTTTATCTCAACCCACGAGTTTTCTCACTTCTACCCTTTTGATTCTCTCTCCCATTCCACTGGGGGAGAGTGAGCGAGCGGCTGTGTGGTGCTCAGTTGCCGACTGAGGTTAAACCACAACAGTCACATTCAGAAACTAATTTTGATCCTGAAAACCAGAAGATGAATGCTAGTAGCACTTTAAAACTTTATCCAAAATAAAAGATGGCATAAAAACAACTATTCTGAACTATCCTTTACCTTTATAAAAGACTTTTTTGGGAGCAAACATTATCTACAAACATTGATTGCTGATATTTCTATTAATTTGCTCTTTTGTTTTTCTCACTTATAAGGCAGACAACAAAACCTGCTATTGCATAGGAATTCTCCAGAAAAAATTTCTGAAAATTCTGTGAGAAGCAGTTATGAGTATTATCTTTATTGCATTCACTATGACACACTAAGGACAGTGACTTTCCTCTTTCCTTCCTTCTTTTACAAAGGGAAGCCAGCTATATCATCTAAAATTTAGATTAGAAGTTGGAACACAGACGCATTACACCAGATCAGAGCAGTGGCCAACCTGAATAGTCTGAACACGGCCAATGCCAGATGAGTAAGAAATCCCACAGTAGGAAATTGTAAAAAACACAGCTCAGTAGGAAGGTATTTCTTAATTATTCTCAAGCTACTGGACTGCTCTCTACCCTGGAGTATGCAGCTTTCATCACTCAGAAAACTGTTGTGTATGAATACAACTGCAGATTTTTCCATATATTTCCATAACTCAAGTTTATTTCCATATACTTGAATTTACTTAAACATGTTGCTGCAACACCAAATGACACTGTGCTCTGCATGTCAGTTGTCACTGGTTACTAGTTTTTTCCTACCATTGTTAGAATTTCTGCCTTTCATTTCATTACAAAACTTCTTGTTTTATTTTGTGGGTGGAAGGAAACAGACCCAATAAGACCTCTCAAAATTTGGGGTCTTTTCCCTTTGTGCTATATAACAAATGGGACTTTTTATTTTCTTGCATAACCCTCTCTGTGAAAGCATTAAAGGATAGTGCTGGTAACTGGAAGGCTTACGACACTAGGAAAAGAGCTAATGTAAGCAGGATCTAGATAACTATGTGGTGTTCAAGTTAAAGCACCACAACCATGATAAAATTCTTTGGTATCTAACTCTCCTCCTTTTCCATCCCCTAAAATCATTCTGAAATCTTGAGAAACAGTGAGGAGAGAGAAAGGAAAAACAGGTCAGCAGGAGGGAAGAGTTTCAATGTATTTGTTTTTAAACAGCATAAAATAAGGATAAAATTATTTCTAGAGTACTTAGAAATAATGTAGGAAAACAAAACCAATATTTTCTGTCTTCACTGGATATTCTTAAATTTGTCTGTTACATTACATTTCTTCCTGGTACGAGACTCAAACAAGAAAATCCTGGCTAAAACTACCAGCAGTGCAGAACTGCTGTTTAACTTAACATTTTTGATTAATTTCAACATACTGTTATTAACAGCATTTTAATTACAATTGTTGTATACGCACATACCAGTGAAATTAGACACTTTGCAGTGTTACGGTATTAAGGTTCTTAAAGTTAAATCATGCCAATGCAGATGTTCTTAATTACTTTAAAAGCACAAATACTTACACAAATCAGTTGTTTCCAGCTCCAGCATAATTCAGTTAAAGGAGTGCTTATAATTTAACAACATGAATGATAGTTAAGCATAGCTAATATGGGAAATTGTTAAGAAATAATATATATAGTTTACATAAGGGAAGGAGTTAAAGTCCATCTGAGGCGGATAAGAAGCTGTGATTTGCCTGAGACAAATATAAAATATTGCCAAAAGAAGGTGACACTGTCAAAGACATCAAAACCCAACAAAAGCATTTATTTCCCAGTAGCTATCACATTACACACCCGGATTACTGGGACTGTAGGTTTCTGCAGGTCATCGTGCAGGCTGTTTTGGGGAGTTTTTTTTTTTTTTTTTTTTCCTTTTTTTTTTTTAAAGCTGCCAAATGGAGTCTAGCTCCACCCTTACTTTGTATTGCTGCTTGAAAAGAGACGTGGTAGGTAATGTAATACAGCATTAAATCAACACAGAAGCTGAAGCACGCAAGCCACAGATGCAGGCAGATCTTCTCTGTGGGTAATGTCTCTGGCAGGAGCACCCTTCATGCACAGAAAGTTGTTAATTATTTCCTGCTGTGCTCTGGGCTTCCACAGGTAACAGTATAATGCCAATGTTTCTTCCAGAACAACATCTCTTACAATGCAGTTATCATGTAGACATATTTTGTTTTCCATATGAAATAGGGAAAAAGGTGGTCATTTAACTGATAAAACATTGTATATAGCCATATGCTGTGTGAATAGAGTTACTGCTCTCTTATCTTCTATATTAAGTCTTCGAAAAATTGTCAAAGGGATGGGATATATAGTAAAGTTCCAGCTTACAAAAATTAGCTACAATAACAGAAGGCATTTCTATTTGCACATCCACTATATACACATAAGAGTTAAGACTAAACATTTTTTCCTTATATTTTTATTTAGATTATATCAACATTAGATATATAAGCATGTCTTTGTTTTAACCAAAGCTTTATGATAATATTAAACAAGAAAGAAAAAAAGAAAAAGAAAAAGAAGACCAGACTAATTCAGCATGACCAGATTTCAAAATATGAATCCAAAATGAGTTAACTGTACCTTGAGTCACCTGTTGGATAGCTAGCATCGTCCCGGAAACCGTATCGGGAATCAAATTTTCCTTCCAATTGTAGACAGGCACCCATTTGAAGATGGGCAGCCTTCTCATACACCAGACTTTGATATCTTCAAAGCGAACAGCCTGGATCTTCCTCCAGACTGCACTTCTTTTCCTTTTTGCTCCTGTCATCATTCCCACCACCCCAAAAACAGTTCCTCTTTCAGAAGAGCGCACAGTTGAGGAATCGCCCTGATCTGTGTCAATCTCCGGTTTTCTTCTGAGATTTTGCAGTTCCAAAACTACAGAGAAAAAAAACAAAACCAGAAGCACTTAAGATTTCTGCAGCTGCTCTCTAGCTATACTCAATAAAAACACTTATTAAATGCTTCAATCATATAAACAGCTACATGAAATGCAAGAACCGTTTATAGCAAAGATCACATTTTCTGCTCTTTGCAAAACTTTGGTCTAGTATCACGTTAGTTTATGATTCTGTCCAATAACCTCCCACTTTATATTCCCTGTAATGCTTGTGCTTTTGGCCTCAGTCCAGTGGTAAAATGAGGTATTACTGGGTGTGTGTGTGATATAGGCTGGGCTATGCTAATATGAGTGGGAAGCGCCCAGCGGAGCAGGCATCTCCCTGCCAAGCCCAGGAGAGCAGCCTTGCCTCTCCTGGGGGGAGCTTTTCTGGCCGAGGTCAGAAGGCATGAAGTCCTCAGTAACCCTGGTGCTAGCAAACTTGTTTTACTCCATCAACATTTTGTCTTCTAAATGACAGTAAAAAGCTTATTTATGTAGAAAATGCAGAACATCAGGTAGCAATAAGTCCTGCTGAAAACATACACAGATTCTCTCTGTAGGCTGAAGCCTCAGACAAGTGTAACAAGCTCAAAGTGCAGTGAAGGACTGCAAGCTATCGGCTCCACGTGGGAAGTGCTAAAACCGCTTGCGATAATCATTCTTCTTCAAAGCTACTCCTTTCTGCTCTTTCTAGTCCACCCAGCAAAGGCGCTCTCAACGAAGATAGTTCACCAAGTAACTTTTGATCTTGTAATAACATTCGTGCTCCTTGTGTACGATACAAAGTGGTCAGACACAAAGTGATAAGAGCATGGAAGAGCTTAAAATGTCAAGACATTTAAATGCCTTGTCCGATATGGAGCAAGGACACAGTGGCTTTCCTCTAAGTTTTTTGTATCTCTGGATGGCAAAGAAATTCAAGTTAAAATGTAAGATCCATCATATGGGTGAAGTGTCTTCCCAATCACTATTCTGCAGTAGGCAATAAAAATAAATATATTTTTAAAATATTTCAATTTTATTTATATAAATTAATTTACATTTTATTGTTTAGATTATGCTGAACAAAACTGAAGCATTGTCCATCCAAAACAACTTTAGAAAAATGAGACTTTGTTTCCAAATCCAATAGGGAGAAAAGCGGAAGGGCAAATGCACCACAGTTCATTCTACCGAGTGACATTCAGGTGGTGCCCACTGTTGTGCCCCTTAGAAATGCAAAGGGAAAAAAGAAAAAAAGAAATAACAGAATAAATATATTTTTAAAATATTTCAATTTTATTTATATAAATTAATTTACATTTTATTGTTTAGATTAAGATGAACAAAACTGAAGCATTGTCCATCCAAAACAACTTTAGAAAAATGAGACTTTGTTTCCAAATCCAATAGGGAGAAAAGCGGAAGGGCAAATGCACCACAGTTCATTCTACCGAGTGACATTCAGGTGGTGCCCACTGTTGTGCCCCTTAGAAATGCAAAGGGAAAAAAGAAAAAAAGAAATAACAGGAAAAAACTGATTAAAGACAGATCCTCACTTCTAACTATTCCAGGCATACTTGTTCTTTGCCCTGCCCATCCTTTAACCATGTACACTTTTTATGGAACAGAAGAAACACGAGACAGGTTTATCTTATTTCTATTCACTGGAATAAACTCTAAGCATCAATTCCTTTTTCCTTTTTTTTTTTTAATATGGGGTTTGTGTTTTGGTTTTTTTCTGTGTGTGTATCACTGCTTTTAGCTTGAAAGTGCAGTTCAATGACTTCATAATCAAGGGTTTTATAGCTGCCAAGTGTTTCACAACACAGACCTTTCCCTACTTTCAATGATCAGAAGTGGACAGGAATCCTTCTAGCTACACCGAGAGTTACTCAGCTGTCAGGGGCTGCTTAGTTTCGATAAAATGTTCAGTACCTCTAACTGTAATAGAATTTAGTGGTGAAAAAAAATTAATACATTTCTACACATAGATATGTATGTACAAAAAATGTACCCAAATACGGGTACTTGTGTAAAAGAGACTACTCCTATTTTAAAAAAAAAAAAATAAAAATCATGGTTCGCTAGAAGCTCTGAATATTCTGAAACAGTCAAAAAAAAAACTGTTATGAAACCAAAGAACCATCACTAAACACACAGGAACATACTCTCCATTCTCCAAACTTCTCGCATCAAAATGCTGAAGCTGTTTGAAAAAGTCTGTAGTTGAGATTTTCCCACCTCATATTTGCAGAGTCAGTAAATCTGGACAGTTTTCATCAATCCCAGATTAGTATCTGAACTCCTAGGATTAGCTATATCAACAGACTTTTGTCCCTCACCAATAACAAGGGATGGTTTCTCTCTATGGGTATGTGCCTGCGTGAGTGCAAACATCTTACAACTAATACTTGAAAATAAGCCCTGTTAGACACAGACAGAACTGCACATGCAGTCTTTGGGATGTCCGTGCTCATGTGGAATTTGTGAAGAAATTTTGGTTTACTCCAACAATTACTCTGATGAGTAAAAAATTGCATTATCATTAAATCTGGAGTTGATAACATCGTCACTAGTCTTGAAAAACATTGTTCCTTGTTGTAAGTTTGAAATTAATAAAGGTCCCTTCCAACCCAAACTATTCTTTGATTCTATGATTCTATTCTTAGTTAGCAATGACACAAAGCAACAGATCACTTACAACACCCCAGACAAAGAAATAAAAATTTTTAAGGGAAAACATCTGTACAGGTATGCGTAACAGCAAGTCTATACCTCACTACACAGTAGTCCAACATTTGAATCTTAAAGACACATCAAAAAACACTTTCCTAAAACACATCAACATCTTAACTGAAACACACACCTTATCACACACGCACAATGTTTAAACATTTTCCCATCAGGTGGCTTTCTTTAACCTATAGACCTATAACCTATAAACTCCCAGACTATGCAGATTTGTCATACTTCAAACTGTATCACGATGTACCTGAGCTATCAGAACTATGAGACCTTCTCCTTTCCTGAAACAGGCATATAGAACTTAGTTTTCTGGAACACCAAAGGATAAGCATGAGGAACCTTTGTTTTTATACATTTAAGTCAGTGTATTCACACACACACACACTGTTGTAAGGTTAGATTTTTTTACAATTAGCCCTTCTGATGATCTTATGTAAGTAAAGCCTATTTTCAAGTGATTAGATGGTTGTTTTTTTCTGGGAAATACACAAAAGTATGATTCTAGTAGTGTACATATGTACAATGCTAAAAAGATAATGACCATAAGTCAAAATTTAGAATACAGATAGTATATAAAAGGAAAGAATTATTGCATCATAGATCAGATCTGGTGGGCTTTTCAAACCTAATTTATAATAGGTTCCATAAAAATGAGGTAACATCTGTGGGGGCAGTCTATATTTTCATCAGCTCCTCTAACATTTATGTATGTTGGTTATTTACATACACGGTGGACACATACACAAACAGGAGGTAGGAGGTTTGATTCTCTAGCTCTGACCTCAAAGGATTTAAAAAAAAAAAAAAAAAATCTAACACCTTACTCCAACCTAGACCTCAAAAAGAATAATTTCTGGCAAACTCTGAGATAGAAGCCCTAATCCCCACTTCGTATGGAAGCAGCTTTTGTAGGAAATCACTAGACTCTTGAATGAGAACTGTTTTTGGTCTTTAAATAAACTGACAGGAAAGTTCAAGAACTATACTTGTGTTTACATATGCCCACAGAAGTTAAATGAATCTATTCGTACCTTAGGCAGGCATAGATGCCATGATGGAAATAATGTGACTTGCTCTTTGTAAGTTTTTTCAGGAAGACAGATCACTTACTAAATATCTGCAAACATCCAATAGTAAACCAATTTTGACTAACTAAACCTGTATTCCTGCTGATGTACATCATTTGCTCCCCAAGAACATCCAGTACATCCAAGTCATTTCCCCATGTTCTCCCATCTACCCTCACTGGGCAAGGGAAAGTATGTGCTATCATTAGTCCAAAGCTACGTGCACTTTTCTGGCTGACTGGCCACTGCCAGAATATATATATGATTGAGCTCTGAATATATACTGAGTATGTAATGATTGAGCTTTCCTCAATCATTACACAGTGGGGAAACTAATTTCCATTCATCCTTGTCCTCTATCCTGACCAACAATTTCTATGAACTCAGTTTTGATACTGCTGTCTTTCTGTCAAATGCAGATAACAATGGCTAAAGGATTAAGAGGATACCAGATGAAAGACTTAAGAAAAAGAAGACAGGCAAAGATCTTGGTCACACAAAGCTTGTGTCTATAGGAAAGATGGCTAGAATTCCAAGAGAAATCCTATGAAAAATTCCAAGTATGTTTGACAAAGCACAGCTGGCTGGGAATGAAAGTCAGATTTAAAATAAGGAGTGATAGGTACTAGTTCAGAGAGACCAAACCATGCAGTTCATACATCGCAGAACACAGCATATGAGAATATTATACAAGCTACCAGAATGATAAGAGAATGCTGACAAATGGAACAACACAAAAACAGTGACGAAAATCTACACCTTCAAAAAAGCATTCCTGAATTTTGAAAGTTTGTAAAAAAATAGGTTATCAATCACATGTATTACATAAAATATTAAACTAGGCCACAGAAGAAGCATATGTTTAAGTATGCAAATTATTTACTACTGCAATTTAAGGAACTTCCCTCTCTGAAATTCTGGTGCATCAAAACCAAGCATAATTCACAAACTCCGAAGCTTGCTAATATATCTTCCACAGTTGGATGGAATGCATTTATTTTCAGTAATACCTAACTTTAAAAGTACTCCTGATTTCAATCATCAAATACTTAAATGTGGACCTAAATTGAAAAAGATATGATTCTTGCCCTTCAC